AAAGAGTGAGATCAGCTGGGTCCAGAGGTTTGGAGGGAGGCTGTGACACCACAAGGGTCCAGAGGCCTAGGAAGGAGCTGAGGATGACACTAGTAGGACCCAAGGCCCAGAGAGGGGAAACTGAGAGTGAGTGGGACTAGACGAATCCATAGGTCCAAGGAGGTCCTAGGAAGGAGTGAGGCCAGAAGTGTCCAGAGACCCAAAGAAGGGGTCCGTCCAGGACCAAAGGAGTCTGATATCCCAGAAAGGGGCTGTATAAAAGAACAAAGGGATCTGATAGCTCAGAGGCATCCAAAAGAGACTGGGGGGTCTGGCAGCCTAGAGCAGGGATGAGTGGGAGACGGAAGGGTCTGGCAATCCAAGGAGGATCTGGGTAAGAGACTGAGGGGTCTGAGGACCCAGGGGGGGTGTGTGTGTGTGTGTGTGTGTGTGTGTGTGTGTGTGTGTGTGTGTGGAGATGACATCTGTGAGGATTAGGGATCCTTGCTGGGGAAGAATGGAGACGCACATTTTGCCTATAAGGCAGCAAGCACAAACACCGAGTGGTAATTAAGATTTAAACCAGGGCAGCTTCCTGTATTTTACTGGCATTTGAACATAATATCAAGACATGGAGGGTGAGAACGACAGACTGCCCACCGAGCAAGGTAAAAATTAAAAAATGTTGGTCTCCAGGGACTTTATGGCTATCTCTGCAGATAGTACCCTGTGGTAGGGAACACTAGAAGTATTAATTGGCAGTGGAGGAATGCTGACAAGTTTTCAGGCCCATGAGGAGACCTGTGAGCTGGATTATGTAGCTCTGTGAGATTCGGCTCCGTAGCTGGGAACTGAGCAGCCCTGGTTTAAATCATAGAGCAAACTTTGGTGTAAAGTAGAAGAGTCTCAGGTTTTGCCGAACGGCTTGCAGAACTATTGCAGGTTTTAAATCCAAGAACGGGTGGAACCAGAATGCTACAGTTCCCTGTTCTGTCAAGTTCCAGGAAAAGAGCATTTCCCCAAGGTGATTATGCAAAGAGAATCCTTTGCTGCCTTTTTATAGGGAAGTTAAACAAAGCAATGCTACCAGGCAAACTCTACAAACTCCTACTTATGAAAAGTCTTGACTTTCCGTGTAGCATTGTTAGGAAGTGTATGTTTGTGTACTAGGAGATCCATTGTAGGATAGGAGCTTTGGTAAAGGCAACAGGTTTGAAAAACTTAAATAATGTAAACATTCATGTAAGAGCCTTACAAATTAATCAAATTTATGTCCTACCAGTGTAAGATATGTTATTGTCTGTCTGTGTATCCATAGTAGTAGGACTGATACAGGGCTGGAATGGGAAAGTTAAAATTCATAGCAACTTGAACCAACGTAGAATAGAGATCTTTTTTGCGTACAACAATCAGTTTTAAGTAGCTAAGACTGTAAATAAGAATTCTGAGGGAATTTGCTCTCTGACAAATGAGAATGACATTAAAAAAGCTAAAATAATTCTGAGCTACATAAATACAAATGTTGAATGCATCAAAAGACATTATTCTAGTCCTATAGAAAGAAGTGATGAGGGTATTGGGAATAATGTGTGCAGTTCCAGTCACTGTTTTCTTATATTTAATATATTATAAAAATGAAGACTGAAATGAGAATGATGTAGAAACTTGAAGAGAGATTTTCAAGAACTTGGGAAATAATTAGTCCTGAGTTATTTGAAAGAGAGAATTTTAAATGCTGGTCAATTCTGAAAGAGAATGGATTTAAACTGTACTAGTTTTGAAAGACTGTTTTTAAGGTGGAGCAATCTGTCTATATTTTACTGTAATTCGGACCACTTTTGATTGCTCTTCTTTAAAATGGCTCCTAACATATTTGTCTTCAGTGTTTATAGAGTTAACTATTCAGTGAACTAAATTTACACTTGGAATGTATAAGATACACAAATAGGAGAACTACCTGGCAACTCTTATTTATTTGTTTTTTTTTAAAGGGAAAAAGTGCAGTTAAAAGGGTTTATTTTTTACTTTGGAGAGAAGTTAGCGAGGTGCTCACTGCAGTAAATATATCGGTCATGCTATGCCACCCTGGGATGTGTCCAGACAAGCGCAGACATTTGGTTCCCCAGGGACAAGTAGCAGCGGCGCACCTTGCACCGTAGTTACTTGTCCCCTGGGAACACCCATGCCACATGTGCTTTGGCATGCATCAAGTTACCTTGAGTGGCGTAGGGGAGGCTGGAGCCAGCACTGTACCTTACCTGGGGTTCTGGGGGCCTCCCGGAGATGACTTGAGGCAAGTGTGCCAGGCAGAGCCTGGCTGGCAGCTGCAGTGCAGCTCTGGGCAGCTTTGGTCCGCTTTTCAGCAGGGCACGGTGCCCAAGTATGTACTCCTCTGTTTTTCTTTTTCCGCAGATTTCTTTTTTGGTCCCTGGATACCCAAGGGTCAAAAGCCCATGGTGGGGGGGGGGTAGAACAAGCACGGGCAGCACACCCTTGCAGTGCAGAGAACACCTGACTCTGCAGTATGTGGCTCTGCAGTTGTTTGTAGCTTCACATACCGCATGGCTACGCTCGTCTGGATGTGCTCCTGGTGGCAAACAGTAGAGGTTCTGTTGCTGGAGTTTCTTTAGTTAGTTGAGTTTATGGAAAGGCTTTTTTCCCCTGAGAGCTGATCAACCTAGGTATCTTCTTCTTGGCTGAAATAGCCTGAATCTTTGTGAAATCACAGGGCTTCATAGTAAGAAGTCAACACAGTGAAGGTGGGCAAAAAAAATGAGTTTGCAGGATGGGGGTTGGTGGTTTCTCGTTCTGTGCCAATTTTCTAAGCAAGTGTTTAAATTCATGAACTTAAATGTGGTATTATAGTCCTGAATAAAGATGGTCTGATTTAAGGAGAGCTTGGTGACCACAGCATATCGGGCAATTGGACTACTTCTCTTATGGATTATGTTTTGTGGCTTTAGACACTGGACATTTTGGGCTGACAGATATATGCTTCTCTTACTGACTTGTGCAGTCACTGTCAAATGCTACCCAGTGTTCTACTCCAATTTTTCTTGGACTTAACATGGATGTTAACTACAACAGAAAATGACACCTTTTGTATGTGTAATATTTTACTGCAGTTCTCATAAGAAGATGAAATATCCTACTGGATTGGACTATCAGTCCATGTAGCCTATATTTATTACCCACTCTGTGCTTCTGTGAAAGTGAAGAATATTTATCGTAGGTCTTATCCTGATGAATCAATCCTGCATTAATTTCTTTCAGCTAAAAGAACAAATGCCAAGAAACCATTGCTCAAGACTGTGTTCTTGAATATATTAACATAGTGTATTCATAAAGTTAATTTGTCAGTAGTCCAGATAAATCGTTACTTGAGCCATGCCCACTGTCTAGGGCTAGGAATAGACATTCAAAAAGCCCAAAGTGGAATAAATCTAAGTTGCACAGTTTTCCAAAAGCAGTGTATTTAGATTGGCAGTGAACAGAACACACATTTGGTCATGGGCAGGGTGGTGTGGGAGGGAATCTTAGACTGGGCTCCACCATTTTAAAACCATGTGTGCTGAACTTCTGTTCTGCTGTATACACCTATTTCCAGTCACTTATCAGTAGAAGTGTAATGTCTGTACCTGGCCTAGGGGTTACTTGTATTCCAAGTTTCATAGGACAAGAACCTTTGTACTGTATCTTATTTAATTGAGTAAACACCCGCTATTATCTAGACACGTGCATCTCAAGGAATCCTGACAGTTTCTGTCCTTCTGCTTGCATAAAGAGTATGAAATCTGGCCATGCACAAGTTTTACCTAGAACAAAAACAAATAAAGCTAAGCTACTTCTATTGAAAACAGTTGTATTTGAGGCAGGCAGAGGGGAAAATTCTGAACATTTCATAGGTTAATCCATTTAAACTGCTTTCACACGATGGAATTCTGGAAGAAAAATTATTAGGAGGCACATGTGACATTTGGTGTGTGACTGCATTAATCACACACCTCTTTCTACAGGAGCACTGGGCAATTAACAGATTAATTATAACATAGAAAGCAATAATGTATTCCTAAGACTTAGAATATGAGACCTCCATAACTCTGCTGGACTTTTTTGGATGCAAATTCCTAGCAGTACAAAGAAAGAGTTACAATAATTGGAAAGTGAGACTTACTGACCTTGTTGAAGATTAAAAATATATAACATTTGGAAAAGATGGTATTAAAACTTCAAAAAAAGAGTGAACATGAATTAGTTCACTTCATAAAACTATTCTAAAGAGTGCTTAATACATGTCATCTTCACACAGTATACCACTTCTTAATGTGGACTTATGAGCCATACCTTTTTATTAGCTATAGTTTAGTAGTTCAGCTTAATGTACTGTATTAAAATATATATATATATATATATATATATATATATATAAACTCATGATGATCCCCAGTCCTTGAATGAATATATATATATATATTCAAGGACTGGGGATCATCATGAGTTTATCACTGCTGTTAGATCTTCAATTCTCAAATTACATTTGGCTGTATACCTGTTTTTCCTCCCTCTTTTTTCCTCCCTCAAGATTTCCTACACTTTAAAATATTTATCTATATTTATAGCTTTTTATTATATATTTATATAGTTATAGGTATATTCAGTTCTTAATCTAAGATGCATTTAAAACTCTGTATTCATATTTACTCTCAATACAACAGTGCTGGAAGGAAGTACATGAAACTTTGCACTGAATTCATAACATATTTTGTTCTCATGTGCCAGCCTGAAACCCCAGAAACTGGCACAAGAAGCAAGGGGGAGCTCCCACTTTTTTATATTTAAAAAAAAATCATAGGGGTTAGGTTCACAAGCTAATAGGCCAAAGGGAGGGAACAGGTAATAGGTAAAGAAGCATCAACGCTGTGGTAACATATATACTCAGTACCTTTTTATAATTTCACACCCTCACCTCTGGAGGTATCCCCAAACAAGCCTTGAGTCCCTGGAGCACTCAGTCAGCAGCCTGCAGCTGCCCCCGAGTCTGAGTCCAGCTCCTTCAGTCCACAGTCCTGGCTGACAGAGCGAGTGAGGTCTCTAGCTCTGTGTGCTCCTCTGTGTAGGGCTGGCCAGGTTCCATGTGCACGCTGCTCTCTCTTCCCCTTACTCCAGCCTCAAGATTCCTTTTCTTTCTTTCCCTTGCCCCCCAACCCCTGAGGATTTCTGAGAGTTTTAGTCTAAATTAAGTCAGCATAGCTCTGCAGACTCCCCCCTGGTTCCTCCTGTATACATATGAAATGAGCGTAATGTGAATGTTACAAGTTTTCTCTCACATTTGTAGCCATGATCTAAATGAGATGAGTATTTCATACCCCTTTTGACTTTCAGTAAGAAGGCATGCTGCAAAAAAGCTTTTTTTTTTTTTTTTTTTTTTTTTAACTAGTTGCATGTCAACTTGCTCTTGGTTATAACAGTGTGCACTATAGTGTCTAAGAACAGAAAGCAGGTTAAAGTAATTCATTACAGTAAACCTTGACATGAGTAACTTTCCTTAAATGCAGTTGATTATTATTAAGTTTAATTTTTTTAGACCCATAGGTAACAAATTATTTTAACACATTTTGTTTGCTTGTGGTGGGGTGTTTTTTTTTCTTTCTTTTTTTTAGTCTCCGAGAATAATGGTGTCCCAACAGAGATGTCTAATGAACCCTTAGCCTTAATGTTGCCACTTTCATGTCCATAGAACTTATGACTGGTTTCAAATATTAAAATAAAAAAGGGGGGGGGGGATGGGGGGCGCCCAAGAAAACAAAAGCCCACTAGTTGATTTATAGGGAGATTGTCCCAATTCTTTAAAAACAGAAAGACGTCCCCAGTGATTCTTAGCTGCAATGAGCCAGTGGAGGTTAGCAAACTGGCAAATAGTACTTACTTTTCCATTGAACTCGCTTTTAAATGATTGTCACTGAACAAGATGGAATTTATAGCTGTGTCTACAACACCCTTTCAAGCTAGGTTGGATCCTAAAGTATTAACAGAATGTCAATAACTTTGCTCAATTACAAATTGTTGTCTTACTGTGGCTTTTGCCTTGTTGGTTTCTTTCATGTAGATGGAAAGTTTTTTAAAGGATAGTAACTTTTTTAAGCTACAAGAAGACAAAAGTTAAACTTACTAATTTCAAGTCAGGGTGATATTTCCTATTACTTATGCATTTAAACCACGAAAATGAATTTTACTTAAGCTTTGTAGAAACAGTCTACATGCATATGCACATGCAGAGTAAAATTGATTTAAAATATGTCTAAAACAATTTTCCAGTCAAAAACAGAGAGAAGATGTTAACAGGGTTTTATAGTGAGATGTCTATGTATTCTATTTACATTATACTCCAGGATGTGTTTAGAGTACACAACTGCCAAGGCAACTTGTTCCTTCACCCTTCAGCTAAAAACAAGAAGCTAAAAATAAATAAGGAGACGTTTTTAATTCTGTTTTTCATTTTTATTTATATTGTAAAGCAATAAATCCCCCTTCCAAGACTATCATAAAGTCAATATATCAGTGACTAACAACATGCTCATTGGGAAAGCTACATAAAGTTGATGACTGATAAGGGATAAAACCTCATTCCCATTGCTGTACTAGTCAGTGTTATCACTTTTATGTATTCTGCCAGTAACATCCTTGATGATGACCAAGTGAAATAGCACTTAAATAAGAGCCTTGTTGGAACTCTACTGTAACAGAGTTTAGTCCTTTGTATCTACATCATTTGATCACAGCCAAATACTACACTAAATTAAATGTCAATTTTAATGTATTGTAAATTCAGTTAAAGCATGCTATGCTATGATGTCAGGGAAATGCATTTCTAATTTTTATAACCTGTACCATCAGTCATGTTTCTCTCATTTCACCAGTAGTATCTGGCAATGCACAATGTGTGTGTAAATATTCTTGTGGTTCATCCCTCCATCCCTTAATTTTAGATACTCTTCCTTAATAGTGGGATGAGAGGGGACAGAACAGTTAGTTACTAGGGCTGCATGACACTTTAGTCACTGATTCAGTTTGGCGGAGATTCAGCCTCATTCGGCAGGTGAATATCCGAATCTGAATTGAATTAAATCAGGAGGCCCTTTTAATCCCTCCAAATATATTTTGGTGGGTTCTGATTTTGTTTCAGAGAAATTCGTTGATTCAGTCACAGACACAGCTTTTTAAATGGTGGTTTGTTTGTTTTTTTTAGTTTTTATTTTTCCTCAAGGTACCAGGCGGCTCGTGAACGCTGAGATGGTGGAGCTGCTGGAGCATCCCAGGGGAGTGCGGAGGGGTCCCCAGCATGCTCGGCGGCAGACCAGGAAGTGGATCAGATGCCCTTCCAGTCCACCTCCAGGTCTACTGCCGAGCATGTGGCAGGGCCCCCTCCGCACTCTTGTGGGATGCTTCATCCACCCCACCATCTCAGCACTCATGAGCTGTGCCTGGTACCTTGAGGTATGTAGAAAAAAACATTTAAAGCTGTGTCTATGGCTGAATCGCTGATTCTCTGAATCGGCATCAAATCTTCAGATTCAGATTTGGCCAAATCGAATTGTGACAGTGATCTTAATTGACTATATAAATTGAATTGTAAATTGGATGCTTATCTTGCTGGGATCCTATGACCCCAGCTGACTTCCTGAACTTCGGGCGGGGGGCTGGACTCTATGATCTTCCTAGATCCCTTCCAGCCCTAATGTCTATGAAATCTATGACTAATCAAATCACTGTCCCCTGAATGTTTTTATTTATTTTTTATTTTTTTCAGGCCAAATCTGAATCCAATATGGCCCATTTCGCACACCCATATTGGTTACCTTGTACTTCCTTACTGTGTCCCATTTTAAGCATGAGTTAATGGACCTTAGGGGGCTAAACTATTTTTGGTTCTGTTGCAAATGAATGCTTGAGCATTTAAATTGCAAAAAGTGATTTTTTGTTTTGTTTTTTTGGGGTTTTTTTTTTTTAAGATGTTAACCTATTGGAAGGGGTAAATGAAGATGAAGTTACTGTCTTGCATCTCTCTCTCTCCCCCCCCCACCCCCGGCTTAGTGACCATAGTCTTCTTCATTTGGCACTGGGACATATATACAGCTCTTGACAAATCTAAAAACAAATTCAGGTAGATTCTGCTGCCACATTAGCATACAGAACTTCCCATGCTTTATTTATAACTTATTCCAGTAGTGTTCTACATTCTTTGGCTCTATTGGCACTGGTGAGGTGAGGCCTCACTTGGAGTACTATTTGGGTCCCAAAACTGGACACTTAAAGAGATTAGAAAGATTAAAAGATTAGAAAGAGCCAGCAGAGTAATGAATTGGGTTATAAACCTGGGGGGACATGATTTGAGTGGAAAGGCTGAAAGAGCTATGGTTATTTAAGATGGAGAAGAGGAAAATGGGTTTTGATAAATCTTCAAATACCTGAAGGGCAATTTATAGAGAGGAGGTAGTCTTTTCTCTGTAGGCCATGGGGACAGGACAATGGCCTCAAATTGCAGCAGAGGAAATGAGGATGGACATTAGGAACAACTTTCTCTACATAGTTTGTTCCAATGCCTGACTAACCTCAGTAAGAAACTGTGTAATCTCCATCTCTAGAAATTTTCAAGAGCAGGTGAGACAGACACTAGGATGGGATGGTTTAGTCGGGGATGATCCTGCCTTGACCTGGGGTTTGGACTAGATGACCTTGTGAGGTCCCTTCCAACCCTGTTTTCATATGTTCCTACATGCTAATACTAATCATAAGGCTTCAGAAACATTGAATATATCATAGGACAAGTTTGTTATATGCTGTAGCATTTCAGTGTTCTTATAACTCCTGGACATTGCACAGCTTCAACCTTGCTAAATCTAACAAGTATCTATTTAGAATTTTCCCACCTTGTGGATATCTCCATGCATTTACTCTGATTGTGAATTAATCTACAATCCCAAGGGGTAGAAGTCACGTTAGCAAATTTAAGAGCAAATGTAGGGTGTTTGTAGCACAGTGTTTGTGAAAGAGACTGAGGTTTTTTGGCTCTTACATCAAGCCTAACATAATTGATCTAATTAATAGTAACATTTTTTGG